ATCATGCTCGAGTCCACATATGACCACATAGTAAGAAAATCTTCGTACGTAAAACTAAGGGTCGCCAATCCTCGTTGTTTTCCTTCCGTTATCCTACCAGCTGGACTACTTATTTCAGGTTCGAACTCACTATAAGCAAGTCACTTAGTGAGTAGACCCACTTCTAACTACAGCCGGCCCCGATGCAGCACCATTGTTTCCTTGTCCTAGTAGTCCACAAATATACGCAGAACAACACATGTCATACCTACCACTTACAGCTAGAGCCACCTGGCAGAATTCAACGGCGACCCGTATTAAGGAAGAAGTTTCATATGATCATCCTTTATGAGGCATTAAGGATATTGCCTTACCGAGAGTCATACAGTGGAATTGTTCGAACATCGTAGATGGATAAGATAATGGAACGAACTCGTTCGTGGAAGCATGGGTATGATCTTCAAGCAATGATTCATTGCGTACACAGAATCGACTATTCAATATGAGTGAAGGACTAAATCTCAGAACGAGTTCAAGCTGCCGCCGCAACTCCATCAACTATAATCATGGATTGACTCAAACCCATGGCGGTGTGACCATTACTGGTTCCGTTGACATCGGCGTCGGAAACACCCTTTCTTCACGCCATTCGCCTGTCGGCGAAGAAGCTCTGGTTCCATACCAAGGTCTCCAACATCACAGACCGCCTGCCCATCACCAGTCGAAAACGGGAATAAATTAGAACGACGAATTTAGATAAGTCGCAATGTAAAGACTTACGTCCTTGCTTACTCCGCTACCTATATTTCTCTTTGATAAGTTCCTTGTGCACTTTCAAACACTCAAACATCTCGCTATAGGATATGTCATTGATGAATTGGCATGTGCCGTACGGTGAGGGGATAGCAAAACGTTGCTTGTTGTCTCGAGTTTTCCTATGTATCATTTAGCTGATACGTTTTATAGATAAATAGTCTGCAGCCCGAGAGACGTACAAGATAGCCTGGGTACCTTTCTTGACAAGCTCTTCAGTGAAGAGATCGTGATCCATGGACAACCCAACGCGATGACTCAACTCATGATACTCATCACGCTGCTTCTCCGTGAGGATACCGCGGCGTGCAGCGACAGTGATGAAGTATGACATGTCGATGTTGATCTAGTATCACCACGAGTCAGCCAGGGTAGGAAAGATATCATATCGAAGCACAAAGTATTTGTAAGCTTACAGCGTGACCGTGTCGAAGAGGAATCACAGGAGCCAATTCTAGAGTAGGGCTGAGGGAATGTCCGAACGCAATGACACGGTCCAGGGCGATCTCGTGTAAGTTTGGACTTTCGAGCTACCCGTACAAGGTTCAATGAAATGACGGGAATCAGCATTTAGGGGAAAGAGGTAAATCGTACCTCAAGCATGACCTTTAATTCCCTCTCCAGCAAATCTCATCGGCAATTTTCTTGAGATCGGGGTCTGAACCAGGAAGACGACCAAAACGTGTGTTGATCAACTCTTCGCCGTGACTGACAAGAAGGTCCCAGATCCGCTTGTCTGCGCAGGAAGATATCTTCATGAGTTCCGCAAAACCATTCCTGACCTGGCCTTCCGGGAGAGTCTTCAGCATGTTGAAGTCGAGGAATGTCACCATGGGCGCATGGTACGCTCCAAGTCGGTTCTTAAGATTACCGTGGTTAATACCGACTAGAAAAAATGCACTCGTTGGATCCTTGTCATTTCTATTAAAAGAGAGGAATAGGGCGTACCTTTGATAGATACAGAAGCATCGATGAGCCCAATGAGAGTGGTTGGGACACGAATAAAGTTCGAAGTGCGGCGGTATGAAGCACAGGCATAGCCCGTAACATCGGTACACAAGCCACCGCCGACCACCAAGACAGGTTCCTTCCTGACCAAACCAAAACTATTCATGGCGTCGACGATACTCAGCATCGTCTTCATCGTCTTGTTCTTCTCTCCGCCAGCCATGACGAAGGTGGTGAGAAGGATGTTGTGATGCTTGAAGTACGCCTTCCAAGCCGAAGCATAGAAAGAGTTTACAATGGCATCTGTAACAAGGAGAACTCTACCCCACGGCTTATAAATTTGGGCGAGATGGTCATGTTCGGGTGAGAAGATGTTGTCTACGAACTGAATGCTAGACATGGACAGTAGGAGTAAGTATAGTCACAACGCAAGAGGTGATGAGAAGCGAACCGTATTTGATCTGTTCGATACCAGCAACGGAGAATCCATTGGAGGTTTCTGTAACAGAAGCCTTGAGATCGCTCATGGTCGAAATAATGTGTATCGCTGATGAAGCGCGTACAAGACTGGACTCTTGTGTAGCCGTTGAAGGTTAAAGGATAAAGTTATGAGGGTCGACTAATGCTAACCAGTAGAAATTTATACGGCTGGGCTAGCTGTCCAACGTGCGTCATCTCCGCGAAGATCACCGATAGAAACATGGTTCACAGCGGCGGTCCATCGCGAACACGGTGAACATTTTAGGCAAGGAACAGAACGCAGGGATGTTTGAACTGTCTGGAGAAGGGATAAACCAACAGACAGGACAACAGGACAAGCACGAGTAGAAGCTTCGGGCGCACTATCGGAAAGGAGTACGAGATGTATACACATGCATTCTCCCAAAATGTAGGCTCCGTATACGTTCGTAGCGTGCTGCACCGGAAAGAGCCTGAAAGTAATACCGCGAGGGTATGTACTCTTCTGACAGCCTGCACAGGGAGTGAGTCGATTCCTAGGTATGAACACAACCCCTTCCTAAACGGAACGGGTTACGGCGGTATGCCCGATAGTGACGCAATCGCCGTGCGAAGCACAAACACCTGTTCTTAAATAGTAACAACTCTTGCTTCAACGGTAGCCTGGTACTCCCTGAGCATGTAATCGGTTCCTTGTATCCTTCCTTCTGGACATTCAGTATTCGATATACAGGTAGCACATACCTCTGCCAGACCAAAGACGTGGGACAGATACGTGAGATTCAGAAAGCGCTAGGCTCAGATGAACAGACCCCTTGGGAAAGACATCCATCCACCCCATTCATACATCCAGTAGAATGTAGGACACGTCGAAGTCTATACAACTGCCGAGACGACGTGTTCCCTCTGTCGGTCAGTTAAGTATCCCCACCTCGAATTGTACGTCAACCTGCATCCCCACCCCCCACGATCACAATGCCTCCACCCAACTTTCGTCAGCTTATGCGTATCATGGGGGCTACTCCCCATGACCGTCTTTCCCACCTTCTCGATGTCATTCTTCAGGAGGTCAAGACTAGCTCTCCAGCTAACTCCAAATTAGAGACATTGGTCGCTGAAGCCAAGAAGCTCAGTGAGGGCTACGACGAGTACGCTATCAAGATGTCTTCACCGACCCCAGAGGTTGTAAAGAAGTTGTTGAAGATGACCGATGAAACCGACTGGCAAAGTTTACGTGAGGAAGGCAAGACAATGTTCGAATTAGTCCCAGAAATGAGCGCAGGAGGATACGAAGGAGTCGTGCTCGCGCAATTTGCAAAGATAACCAGGGTAAGAGGTTTCGTTCATCGATCTTTGTGAGGGGCTGGACTCAATAAGTCTGTAGGCGAAGCGCATTTTAGAGGTTGGTATGTTCACAGGAACAACTACCGCGTCTCTCGCACTAGTCCCTTCAGTCGAACACATAACGACTCTCGACATTGAGCCATACCTCAAGGAAGTTACAGAACCTTACTTCCGAGAAGCAGGAATCCTCGACAAGATCGACGTTCGCATCGGCGACGCGAAAGAGGTGATGAAGGCGCTTGCGAAACAGGGCGAGCAATTCGATCTTGTAAGTCCTCCTTTCATTGAGGTTCCATAGTAGAAAGCGTCCTAACGACACTCGGGATGCGGATTAGGTATTCATTGACGCAGACAAGCCATCCTATGCAACTTACCTCGACCTTATCGTCCCAACGGATGCCAGCACTCCTTCCCTTCTGGCACCATCAGGGGTGATTGTCGTGGACAACACAGCGTTCCAAGGTGCCCCATGGTGTCCTGCAGAACATATCGCCTGGGGAGAAGTCATTGATAAATTCAACAAGACTGTTCGGTAAGCTAACAAACACCTGAGAAATGTCACAATACACTGACCGTCTCTGTTGGGTTTTAGATCAAGAGAGGACCTCGACCCGCTTCTCCTCGCTATAGAGGACGGGATTACACTCATTAGAAGGAAGAGTGATTAGAATTAATTCTAGGACTTGGCGAATCAAGGTTTCCTTTTTGTCAGAATATGGTCAGGAAATATTAGTATACGAGCTGTAAGCGAAGATGATACATTCAATCTGACCAACTACTTTCCCTATGAAGAGACTCAGTGGCTAGAATGCTTCCAGGTATAGTCCGACTTCCAGATAACGTCAAGCCTATCCTGTTTGAAGAGAGAGATGAAGGCAGCGCGACGAAGTAATTAATAATACCCCTCTCTATTTCGCCTATCGAGGATGTCTTGTACCGTCAGATTATTGTAGTTGTTGATTGGCTAGGAACTGCTCTATATTCGTACTGAATTATCGAACGCAAGTGTTTTTAGTTGTATCGCGCACCGGTCAGTGATGCAGTTCTCAGAGACGTGTAAATACCAGTCTTCAGCAAGAACGAGTTTGAGATGTTCAAAACGAATGAAGGGGTATATCCTTTAGAAGGTTCATTTTTTGCGCTTGTATGCAGAGAGGGAGAGATAGAAGGCTTGTTCCCTGGAATTAAGAACGGTATCGTCACCAGGTATCGGTTCCACAATGCAATGATGGTGACACCCTCGGGACGGTCGAATTCATAAGTAGGGCCCAGAGCACACTAAATAGCACACAGTGCTTCAAGCCTCGGGAAGACGATAGGACGGTAATCGTCGCCATCGTCGTCGGTTGATCTTGGAGGAGTCCTGGAGGAGTCAGGACTAGCTCTCCTCAGTGACTCAGTCTTGTCAACAATTTTATTCTGTAGTCTATATTAACTAATGGGTTAAAATAAATATCGCCCGCCTAGCTCAATCGGATAGAGCGTCAGACTCTTATCTGTCAAAGCGGGATGATATCTGAAGGCTGCGAGTTCGACCCTCGCGGTGGGCTATCGTTTTTGCGTCATGCACCTTGTCGTTCTTTCAGCTCATTGAACTTGAACTTGGTCAAAACTTACGGTACATACAAGTGTCGAGCAAGTTACTATGATTGCTTGATGATGTATACAATCCGAACTAGGTATATTAACGAGGGCTTCCTGAAATCTAGACATACTTATCTCGTCATCGGCTCGGGTAAGAACTGTGACCTCATTCGAATTCGACATTCGTGCTGTGGTAAATATGTACTTAAGGCTCGGGTATTCGCAAGATTCACAAGAGTATGAGCCGGCCGTACTCTAGCCTAACTTCACGTCCAGCATGGAGGGTCAGGAACTCGTGACTTTGACTCGGAGTCAACGTCATCAACGGCGGCCTGATTGATTTCAATGGTGACATTATCCTGTGAGTTCTTCCAAATTTACAAGAGGTTGCACGCACAAAAGGTACTTCATCAAACTTTAGGTTTCAGCGCATAGGGTAAAGGGCCGTCCGGCCAGCTTTAAAGCGGGGCTACGTAGTCGATTGAGGGATCACCTACCTGGCCCCCAGGCCATATTCAAACTCTTACACGGGTTCGGACATGAAGCCATTTCTACTGGCTAGTGTTTTGTGCACTGCACCATTTGCTAAGGGAATAGAGGTGGACGCGGCTAAATTTTCCGAGTTGTCATTCGACTATATTATAGTCGGAGGGGGTACCACTGGACTTGCGGTTGCAGCACGGTACGATTGACGGATCTGATACACCTCCCCTCCTGACATTATATTTCTCAGCCTCTCAGATGATCCAAGCATATCCGTCGGTGTCATTGAGGCCGGGAAGAATTTGGAAGACAACATTGTCCTCATACCAGGTAAGTAAATTCAATTATCTGTTGTGAACCCTGCTGATTCGTCGGACATGTATATATAAGGCCTTGGAAGTTCTGGAGTTGGAAGTAAGTCTCCCGGTTTACTTCATGCGGCGAAACTGAATCGAGAATTATACGGCAAGACCCTATATACGACTGGTTGTTGTCTACCTCCCCGCAACCTGAGTTGAACAACCGCTCATTCGATCTTGGGCGTGGCAAATTACTTGGTGGCACGTCTGCCATGAATCTAATGCAGTACACCAAGTATGAAATTCCGCCTGTGATTTACAGTGGACTAATGGATATGTTCATTTTAGAGCCTCTAAGAGAGAATATGATGGTACAATGAATCTTGGCTCGTACAATATTACATGCTCAGAAATAGGATTTAGACTGGGGATTGCTCGGAAACCCTGGGTGGAGCTTCGTGGATATTCAAGGATTCATGAAGAAGTCAGAGAGATGGACTCCTCCCGACCCTCAAACCGTTGCTATGTTTGCAGCTGATAATCACGAGCCTGACCATGGAAAAAATGGCTCCATTCATACAACCGGAAATACAAACTATACTGATCTGATCCCCCAGTACTTGGACTCATTGAGCAATTTGAGTGGTGTCCCGAGGAATCTTGCCCCTGTGAGTGCACATTCAACGTTTTATTCGTTTTGCTTGATGTCTGAAATACTAGCTCGGGGGAAACGCGGTTGGCTCCATGTCCGTTACTGTCACCGTCGACGCCCAGAACCGCTCACGAAGCTTTAGTAATAATGTACGTCGCCCCCCGCTTCACTCCTCAGCTTGACACCCTGATTTCACACGATGATTTAGGGGTATTATCAAATTCGTTCCTCACGCCCCAACTTAATCGTTCTTACTGGGGCTGAGGTCTTCGGACTTGAGACTGATAAGCGGAAGGAAGGACTAGTAGCCACGAAAGTGAACTATATCGCTGAAACGAACGAGACTTTCAGTGTTTCTGTCGGTTCTGAAGTGGTCATATCAGCAGGTATTCTTCATGTTTATTCTCAAGGAGCACAGATCGCAACTGAACGACACCTCATGCTACAGGCTCGGTTAAAACACCGCAAATACTCGAGCAATCAGGTAATATAACGTCTGACATTACGCATTGTTTTACAACTGATGACAGGTTTGTCTCTTAGGCATTGGTGATCCAAAAATATTGAATAACGCTGGCATTGATATCAAACTCGACCTTCCAGGCGTCGGAAGCAATTTTCAAGTGAGAATGAGTTGGACCTAGTCGTGCGCTGATTGATCATAACTCCCTCTAGGATCATATCAGTGTTCCGCTCTCTTTTGAGACGTTCGCGAACATCACCACGTTTGATGCCGTTCGTGACCCCTCATTGTTCCCAGCTTTACTTCAGGAATACGAAACAAACCGTACCGGACTTCTCGGCGGCCCCCCTTCGACAACGGCTTTTCTACCTCTAAATAAGTTCATGTCCGCGCCTGACATAGCTAAACTTAAGCTTGCTTTAGACCACGATTTGTCACGCATAACCAGTCCACACAAAAAGTTACTCGAGGTACAACGTAGTTGGCTCGATGACAACTCGGTCCCGCAGCTAGAATTAGCTTTTTTTGCTGGTATGTCGTTATTTCCTCTTCTTTGCTATATGTGTGTATCTCTAAGTCATCAAATTGTTCTCTGTAGGTTCCACCACGGCCACACCGAACCCGAAAGCAAGATTCTGGTCCTGCGTCGTTGTCTGCCTGCATCCTTTTGCTAGAGGCGATGTAAGCACGTTTGTAAATCCGAACTTCTGGTCAGTTTACCTAATAGCAGTGTGTAGGTGCACATTACGGACAATACGGAGCGATCCATACCCACGATCAACCCGGAATTCTTGAACTCTCCAGGTGACTTCGGTAAAGTTCCACGACCTTCAACTTGATTACGAGTTCGACTCCTCATCGATATGCAGACAGGCAGGTATTGCTTTATGGCCTACGATATGTATTGTCTCTAGCCCAGACGGAACCACTTCGAAGTTTTACGACATCAATCGCAACAGGGCCACCTTTCAATGCTACTGATGAACAGCTCATCGCCTGGATCCGAGATAATGCTGGCTCAGATCTGCACCCCACGGGTTCGTGTCTCCGTTCAGCCTGTTCTATCCCGTAATAACTCCTATTTGAAATGTTTTAGGGTCTGCAGCAATGCTTCCCCAACATTTGGGAGGCGTTGTTGACTCAAACTTCCTGGTTCACGGGACAACTAATGTTCGAGTCGCGGATATGAGCATCTGGCCGTTGGTGAGTAAATATAACATGATTACCTTGCTGCACGCTAAACGCAGGCAGCAACTATCGGCCCATCCGACTGCAACACTTTATGGGTGCGTAAGCTTATGTTTGGGCCGTCTACATACTAATGGCGAAACACAGAACGGCGGAGAAGGCAGTGCATGTGATTTTAGACACAAGAAAGGTTCGCTCGCTCTAAAGACATCAGAACAACAGTGGATACTGGTGAGTTGCAATGAGTTGTATTACGTCCACGCTGCACAAACGAGGCATGAATGAATTCGACGTGGAACCAATTGCTCCGATCCCGCAAGCTGAATCAGCATAACCCTGAATGAGAAGGCGATGTGAGCTGAATGCCTTTCGGAAGGCTCTTAGGCTTCCTCTTTCAGTGATCAGAGGGGTGATCGATTGACGGTACTGGCAGATTCCGTCTAGAACCACTTGAAAAGGGAATACAGTACCAGGGCTCGGAGGGTCGAATCGTTATCCAAGGTCTATTTGTCAAATGGACCTATCAGTGCCGTTCAAGCAAGGCTGCCACGTCTGATACATGACTTGGGATACATGCCGCTCTTAGGAGACAACGGGACCTTATGTGAGGCATATTGTCACAGCACTCAAACCAGATTCGATCAATTGAAAATCTTCAAATTGGAGCAAAATGAATTTTGTCACCCAACGCCAGAAGTTGTGAACCTTACCGATGCCAGAGTTCTTTTTGACACACGGTATCTCGAATGGTCTTTATGAACGTAAGAGCCAGGCCATCGATATGTATTTGAATGGCCTAAATCTACCCCCATCTCTCATTGTACAGCATGGGATTGGTGGACCTACAATGGCAAGCATTCCAAAACAATCCCCGTCCAAAGGGGAAAATCCTACACGTGGTCGGGAAGGGTCTTCCGACTACAACTCTGGAAGCCTAACATCAGATTCCCAGCTTCCAGGTTGACGCCTCGTGTAGAGGGTGAGGGAATGCGAAAGAATGATTTCGACACAGATCCCCACACTCTATCTTTGACTATTTTGTAGGGTAGGGCCTCCCGGTCTATATCAGCTCGAAGAGCTCGACTGCGGGGCCCAAGAGACTAGCCATTGTTTTACCCTTCCCCTTACTAGCCCCCCTACAAACCGTAAAAATAGTAAGTGAATTCTCGTTATTACTCAATACGATAACTGATTATTGCTAACGCACCGCTTTCATCGGTAGCGTGTTAGTACTTCAGCCTGGTCCATTGTATTCTTACCATTCATCTTCACGATAATCAACGCACCGCTACGATGTTCAAATCAGCGTTCGGTCTGAAAAAGACTCAACGTGAGCCGGATAGGCGATCAGGGCACCCACCTGTACAACGATTCTCATCGGTGTCATCACACGTACCTCCCACTCCGAAGACACCATATATTGGAAGTAGACCACTACCTACTTCACCCTTCCACCGCACATCCCATCGTCTTCCCTTCATCATCTCCTGATTCAACTTTATCTGGCTCCAGCTACGATTCTGAGATCCGCGCTCCTCAGCCGCGTTATCCACTGCCTTTCCCATCCGCGCCCCCTACTACGGCACCTTTGATAATGCAGCCTGTTACTACTCGAGCTCGCACGAGAGACCCTATCCGTAGGACTTCTGAGTCCCAAATGCCTGCTGCTCACACGCCTCATCCTACGGCGACATCGCGCGGGGTTCCTGCACAAGTTCCGCCGACGTTGCCCCCGAGGACTCGAGACAGATTAACATCTTCTCAGCGTACGCCTCCTAGTACTGACGCACCTGAGCCCGCGCAACCGGTGCCAAAGGTACCACTATCCAGGCCATATTCCCCGCCTCCGCGCGCTTTACCTGGACGTGTACCGACGCCTGT